GACCTCCACCGCGCCCATGCTCCACAGGAAGGCCGCGGACACGGCGCTGAGCTCGAAGAACATCGCCAGGCAGCCCACGCAAAGCGTCTTGAACTCGTGCCTTGGTTGGTGCAACGACCCCCCCTGAAAAAAATATATTTGTTTTTTTTTGTTTTTTTTTTTTTTTTTTTTTGTGGGGGTTGTGGAAAACACAGCTTTATTTCAACCAACCAGTTTTAGAGTCTAAAGATCCCTTGCCCAGAGGTGCACACCCGCCAGCAGCAGCCAGTCGTGCAGGACCTTCAGGAAGGCCCAGCCCATGATGCTGTAGACGTAGATGTACCGGGACCAGGACTTCTCCAAAGGGTTGATGATTCCTCAGGCGATCGATCTCCATGGCTCTGCGTTCGTTCGTTTGACCGGGGGTTTGGGCTCGCGCAGTTACAAGCTCCCCCCAAAAAAAAAGCTCACACCAACTGTTCCTTGCGCGTGTGCGGCTCTATTGGCTCCAAAAGTCTGCTGCTCAATCAGTGTTGACGACTTGCATTTGGTCATTCGTAAGGCGCAAGGCACCGCGCAAGGCATCCGGTTCAAAGTCCAAGGCTCGTTTTCGCGCAAGTGATGAATCGCACAACTGCCGCATGTCATGCGCAGACAATCCAGCGCAGGATGGCGACAGAAAGCCAGGGCTCAACTGGCTTTGGCTCAAGTTCCCATTGACCACCTAAGCAGGCACGTAGTCCCAAGGTGCCGGTGGCTGTGCAACATACGTCATCTGGAATCTAGCATGTCAAAATTAGGAAAACCCTGACGGTTGTAGGCTCAAAATGGCCCAAAGGAAAGGCATCCGGACCTTCTCGCAAGCTGCCACGCGGCGCCTAGTCTCACAAAAACCCGGCACTTGGGTACGCCTAAGGCCGCCACCACATCAAAGACCTGCGGCAACAGCGGCTCACTTGTCGAACCGACTTAGAAATCAAGCTTGAACTGCTGCACAGATCTCACTATGGTCAGAAGGCCAACTTGTTGAACAGGGGCGAAAGACTGGACAACATTACATACCCTCCCAGTAGCATGGTGCCTGTGCGAGGGTACCTGGAAGATACATTTCCTCTTACAGGGAACCCCCTGTCAGGTGCCACGGCAACGTGGGCACTCGCCTCAAGACCTCAGTGCGGGGCCCGAACTGCCTCTGTCACTGGACCCTGCAGCGTGGAGGGGACCATGCCGCTGCCAAAGATCTTCATGAAGGTACAAGCTCTGTGGCTGCCTAAGAGCAAGCTTAAGGCCCAGAGAGCTTCAGGCAATGGTAAGGTGGGACCCTCGTTCACCATGTCGGATTTCAGGAGTGCAACGGGCAAGCCAGTGTTCAACGCACAATCCGCCGCCCCTTCAGTGTGTTTTGTGTGTCGTGCTTGGCTTGGAAGGTTGGCGTCGTCGGCTGGCAAGCACAAGGATATCGCCTGGTTGAAAGCTGCAACTTCCTAGTCTTACAAGTGGACAATCCGGGATTCCAGAAATTCAGTCTTCAACACCACCTTCCTGCTGTTCGAAGTTTCAATCACAGCAAACAGGGCAAGGGAACTGAGAGAGGCATGGCTGAGATCTGTGAGCAGGCAAGCCTTGGTGACAACTCACATACCGCCTCAATTTGTCAGCGGCTCCTAAATCTGACAGAGACTTCGTTCGACCGCGGTACACCAGCCATCAGCCTTATGATCCTCATGCACTCAGCCTTCAGACCAGCAAGTCCCAATGGTTGCAAACATGGCACACCACAACCTAAGCCCAATATCCTCATACGTGCACATTTGCACTGACTGTTCTCATGACGCAATTCTGCTGGATGAGACCTGTTGGCTGTACAGCATAGGCCAAGACCACCATCCAATGTAAGCCGGCGGAAGCCCTTAGGTTGACTGCTTCTGACTCCTGACTTGCAATTAGTTGCAGACTTTTCCAGGGATTTGGAGGAGACATTGGAGGTCCATGCCGAAAGAAGACGTTGGGCGAGAAATGGTCCAAGGGTGCCCTGTTTCACCAGGGGCAATGCTGAATATGTAGTATGCCACATGCATGATTTCCACATTTGCTTAAAAAGCCATACCATGCCATACCCCTTGATACAAGCTTGCACATATGTACAAGCAAACAAACAACCCAACAACCAGAAAACAAACAAACAAAACAAGCAAAACAAACAAACATGTCCTGTACACAATACGGCCTGGTCCATCTTTATCTACCCTAATGCTACATAACTCTGCGGCTTCGCGGGTCACGTTCTTGCCCGTCCAAACCTGAACCATCCCTACAAGACAAGTTATCATCCAAAACTCGCTGGCCCCAGGCCCTGTTGCATTGATAGTTGTTCTGAAAACAACACGGAATCATAGTCTCTCGGCTTCATGCGTGCGCGAAGTGCGCCAAGCACCCAGCGCTCGGCTTCCGAGAAGCAGGGCTGGAACTCTTCGGCATTGATCCGCGAGAGCTTGGACACCAGCAGGGCAAAGGGGTAGGTCACTCCGGTAGTGGTCACAAGTGCCTGCACCAAGTACAGAGGTGCGCCAGGTGTCTGTCGACTTGGCCATGCGTGTGTGTCTCTCTCTCTGTGTGTGTGTGTGTGTGCGCAGGCGGGCGCGCGCGCGCGCGCGCGCGCGCGCCAAGAAGCGCGTGCGTGCGTGCGTGCGTGCGTGCGTGCGTGCGTGCGTGCGTGCGTGCGTGCGTGCGTGCGTGCGTGCGTGCGTGCGTGCGTGCGTGCGTGCGTGCGTGCGTGCGTGCGTGCGTGCGTGCGTGCGTGCGTGCGTGCGTGCGTGCGTGCGTGCGTGCGTGCGTGCGTGCGTGCGTGCGTGCGTGCGTGCGTGCGTGCGTGCGTGCGTGCGTGCGTGCGTGCGTGCGTGCGTGCGTGCGTGCGTGCGTGCGTGCATGTGGTGCTGCGTCCGTGTCTGTGCTTTTGCATGCGCGCAGCTGGTGGTCTAACATGCGCGCAAACGTGGTTCAGAACGGGCGGCGCCATTCAGGCCCAACAAGTGGCCTGCATGCTTGCACTCGTGTTGAGCTGGCCAACGCTGAACATACAACATGCAGCTCTGGTTGTCTGCCCCCAGCTTCGGAACAGATGGCAACTAAGTGTTCAGGACAAAGGGCCGAAGAAGCTGACTAGAGTCAACTCATCCCAGGAACCCGACCAAGGCCCTTGGCATCTTTGGACTGGAAGAGCTGATGTTGCATGCCCAAGCGAGGGGGAAGCAATATCCTCTGTCTACCCCGCAAAACAGGAAATGATCGAGGCAATCCAGGGGCCGGTACAACAACAGAATCTCAGAACAATGGGTGCACAACAGAAACACAACACCAGCACTCCCCCGAAAATCATCGACTCGCATTCCTTCAGTGTGGCTACTGCAGCCGTTGCGCCTGATCAATTGTCAATGAACCACCCTGCAGGTGATCCTTTTTGGTGCTTCTCACCATGAAATATGCAACCAAAATGGTTGGGGCCTTGTTCTTTTTGGGTTGGTTGACAAATTGTAATGTACAATTTGTTGGGGCATTGTTCTTTTTTGCGTCGTTGGACCATGTACCGGTGGTTTTTCAATTGGGAAGTGTCCCTTTTCCAAATTCCAGGGATCTCGATGAACCGCCATCCCCGATCCCTAGTGGGCCTTCACAAAGGCAGACGTCTTCATGCGGCATCTGCTTGAAGGCCATGCGCCATGGGCGGCTTTCGAGAGGAAGCAGAATGCTGGAATTGTCTCATTTGCAGTTGTATGAACAGATCAGGGCTCCCATGTTTGACATGTTCCCGTACTTGCTGTTTGATCATATGCTGATGCTGCCATGAGTCTTCAGGCTCTTGAACTGATTGAGGGCCTGAGCCAGTGCCGCTGCTAACACTGACTTTTGTGTGGCCCGTAGTGGAGTTCTGCGCCATTGTTCGGACTGCATGTTGGCGGGCTCTGGTTTTCCAGGCAATGAACTCATAGGGGTTGATTCACACTATTGTCTTGGGAGCAATTGTTTGGACTGAGCTTGGACCATGCGGACGACCGCAAGGCGCTTCTTGGCCGCTCTCAGTCTGTGACTTTGGATAAGTCGCGCGGATCCAAGGAAACACGCCAAAAGATGCAAATCACAACAAGCAGCGTGTCCCTAGTCAACAAAACTCAGTGGGCACAACACAAGCACTACAGGCCTGGGAACAAGAGGGTTGCAAACGGTTGCCCGACGAGCACGATGAGGAAGCTGCAGTAGAACACGAAGGGAACCCTTGCCAGACCAACACCAGCGGCAAGGCTCAACCCTCACGGAATGGCGCCGCTGTCGCAGGGCTTTTCTGTTGCTGGGCCTATGGATGCTGTCGGGCATCAGTCATGCGCCCACAGACACACAGACACAAACACAGAGACACACACACACACACACACACGCGCGCGCGCGCGCGCGCAAACACACACAGTGCAATGAGTCTCACCATGCCAAGGAACAACACCTGTTCAGGGCGGATGCGTTTGTCATCATGTTGTTGCGTTCGGCACTCTTGCCAAGCAAATGCAGACGAGGGCACAAGCAAACAGACTCACGCGCACTCATCACCCACCCTTTCACGGGCACAAGCGCAAACACACCCACACCCACATTCACACACACATCCAAACGCCCAAACGATGTACAATGCATGTTGCTTGGTGAAAATACACCCTGCTGTCCATCTTGAGCCAGGCAGCCAGCTGTGAACATTCCATGACGCATGGATCCACACACATACACAGGAGGACGCACATTTACACACAAACAGGCACATTATACAATTAATACATACTGTGTGCATGTCTATTTCCAAACAAGACATATGTATATATGTATGGATGATGAATGCATATGAAAAAAACACATATACATACGTACATACTTACATGCAAGCTCACACAAAGCTCACACACACGCACACACATCGCTTAAACACGCACACACATCCAATAGCCTCAACTTTACCCGCTGCCCTGCGACGAGCAATGCGCCTCTACCTCCACCCACGTGGGGCGTTGCACACTCCCGCGGATCCTCACTGTCGGCTCGTAGGCGACACCCTCCAATGATAGAAGCGGACAGGGGGCTGCAAGGAAAGTTGTCTTCCAAAACTCTCTGATCATCAGCTTCCATGATTGTTGGGAGGTCACCCACTCCGCCCTCAAGAACTCTGTCTTTCACAAGCCAAGGTCACACCAAATTCAAACTGGGAGCGGAACATGATGAACACGATAGTCCACGGGTCACTCCTGGGTAGGAAAGTACATAACTAAAATGAGAACCACGCTTTCATAGCACTCTAAGGCTTCCGTCAGATCATTGAGCTTGCTCAAAGCTTCAGACCACGCATCCTGGTGGTCCATGCAACTCATTCAAGCTCCGTCTGGAAGCGAAAGAAAAGACAAGGCCGCGGCCCTTGCAGCGTGGACCCCCACGAAATCCCGTGCATCCCAAGCCATCTGCGTTTCGTTTTATTCATGGCTGGAGCAGCAGTCAAACCCAGCCTGCGTTCTGCAACAAAAAGCCAGCTACCCTTGGTGTGTTGTCGGGACTTCGGTCAAAACTTTGGCTTCCCTCTGCGCTGTGAATTGTGCATACCAAAGCTGTCTCATCTTCGCGCAACCTGCTCTACCACCACTTCAGGCGCAATAACTCCAAACGCCACTTGAGCAACAAATAATTTCTCCGGTGACTCCTTTGAATTCTACCTTGATTCCAGTTTGTTTCAAGTTTTTCCACAAGTCATACGGACCTTCCCGCGCGCTCCGCGCCCCTTTTTCCCTCAGCCCGCCGAGGCCCGGGGGCCCGGGGGCCCGGGCCGCGGGAAGGACAGGCAGCCCTCCGCCTGCGCTCCGGACGCAGCGGCAGAGGCGGACAGGTTTGGAGGAATCGGGGAAAAAAAGCGGAAAATCCCGTTCCTTTCGCCCTTCCAGCGGAAAAAAAACACGGAAAATCCCGTTCCTTTCGCCCTTCCTGCGGAAAGAAAAGAAAAAACACCGGGGTAATTATTTGCATAGGTGGCCTTTTAGGGGAAATAGATGGCCCTGGGGGATGACTAAACCACCGGGTAAACCAGGAGAAAGGACACCTATGGGTATTTGCTGAGGTTCGCGATGCAAACTGAACTGGTGGTGCTTGTGCGAGCCGCAAGAATGGCCCGGCTTCAGTGTGAGGGGAAAGGGTGCCACCTGAACAACAGGACTGTCACTTGAATCACGAGCATTGGGACAGCCGAAGGCTAGCCGACAAAGTTGAGAGAAGTCTACCTGAACCGGGAAACCTAAGCACATCTCCACCCGGGATCTCCCAAATTGCCTCAGGGCTTCTGAAGTAAACAGTCCGGCCATGCTGGCCTCCAGCGGCCCCTCACTGGGTGAGTTGGAAACACACACACCCAACAACCACAAATGCCTTTGCCAACCGTCTACAATGCAAATCTAGAACACATTGCCTTCATGACATTGACGCGCATGCCAGCAACATCCGGAGCCCCCCCCAAGCCCCTCCCCCCTCCCCCGGCGCGCCGCGTAGTCCCGGTCGTCGCTGGCAGAGATGATGCGAGGGTTCACGAAGACCTGATCTCATGGGCTCCCTCCTCAGCCCTGCCAACTCCATAGGTGACCCCATATTAATCAACCCTGCTTATTAATATGGGGGTGTTCCCCTCCAAAAGTGATGATTCTCCACTAAACCCAGGGGACACCCTATTGATAAACTGGGGTTGATTAATATGGGGTCTACATTAGGTCACCTTTGCGCACAAAATTGAGGGGTTTCCGGGAAAATGGGGCATGAATCGAAACCAGTGGGACCCATCGACTTGTTACCAAACTATCCTAAAAAGGGCACCTGCGGTTCCAACAAGGGGAGCGGGGCGAAAAGCAGAATCTGGAGAGAGTGGGGCAATGAATCGGCTGAATGGACAAGAGTGTGCAAACTCAAAGCATGCCTGCCCGTCTGAACAACGGTGAAAACGGAAGGCAGTCTGAGTGACTTGTGTCATCTTACATGAATGAAACCATGCTTGCCTTGGCGATCCGCGATCCGGTATTTCGGCCAAGCTCTCTGTGTCTCGGACCGTCTCTTCGTCTCGCGTCCTGGGATTCGGATTGTAGACCATCACCCTCATGTTGATGCCAACCTGAAGCCGTAGTGACCGGCCATGGCGCAAAGCATTCTCCTTGCAACGTGTCCTGCCCGGCCAGCTGGAACAAATTTGGACAAACGAAAAAGCGGGGGTACGGAGGGAGGGGGATATGGGGGGATTCCCTTGGCGCCATTTCCCATATCAAACTTAGTCAAGGTGCATTTAGGGGGAATCCTCCCGTATCCCTGGTTCCCCCTGTATCCCTGCTGGTTGGTTTCCCTGACAAACAATGCACGTTAGCTGCTTGCCACGCGTTCGAGCCGCTTTTGTGCGCCGCCGCCACGGTACCAAGTGCGCCGTGAGCGGCTCACACCTAGGCACGCCGCAGCACGCCTTTGAGAGTAGGTCCTCACTGACAAAACAAGGGCCTCCCGAACTGGCGCTCGGAAATTAAACCATAAGAGGCCGGAGACACCGGCCGACTCAGAACTCTCACCTCGGCGGGGCGACGGTGACAAGACTGCCAGCGACTGCCAAGCGACTTCACTGAAGCCTGTTTCTGGGAGGATCTCACATGCAATGCCAGCCGGCTTCAAGAAACATTCAAGATGAACAACGGCATCTCCGCGCTGCATAATTGGGACTGTTGGCAGGGCGAAGCAGGGCTCTTGTATTTCCTGGGCACTGCCTCAAGCACATCCGCAAGGGTTGTAAACAGCAATTACTTTCCCGACTTGGTGACCTCTTTTTTTGAGCTCACAAAGAAAAATGCTCTCCCTTGCCTCTTCCCCTGTTTGGCCCAGTGGCACCACGATGGTCGCATCACAGGTCACTTTGGTGAGCTGAATCTCCTCGTGGAGGGACGCGACCTGCAGGGCAAGCGGGTAACGTCAGCTGCCCATGTGGAAGGCGTCAAACTGGGCGGGTCCCTTGGTTCGGCTGGAGCTAAAAGGGTCAATCACCTGATTGACCTGAATGTCCGCAGGGTTGCCCAGGACGTGTTGACCGGCATTTGCAGCTGCAGGTTTGCCAAATCCCTGTTGCAAAAGTTGGCTTACGCCTTGCTTTGCGTTGACCCATCCCGACCATTCATCCGCAACACTTATAGGGCATTTATCGGAATCTAGCACGCAAACTGTGGGGGAAATGTGCAATCAAGAATGTTCGGATCCCGTAACCCCCTGGGCCCTTCACGGCTTGGTCCTGGCAGCTTTCAGCGACAACATGCTCTTCACACATTCTGTGCAAATGGGCTCGCATGCTCACAGTGCTCCTCGGGCAACACGCAGCCAGCGCGAACAAACTGCGCCCAACATATCGTGGTTGAGCTTTTGTTGCATCGCAGCTGCACGTTGCTTCGTGTTGGGCAACAGCCAGTCACAGGGCAAACAGGACATCACAAGGGCGAAATGCGGGCAATGTGTCGAGCCAATAAAGGCCATAGAAAAAAACGAGGACCGAGAGCGAACTGCCCCAGCGAACAATCTCAGGGACCGAGTGAAGAGCCAACGGAACACAAAGACTGAACCGCAGGCCCGGGCTAATCGACAAGGACAGAAAGAGAGGATCTGCAATGACCCCTTCAATTGGCCTGCAAGCAGCCAGCCAGGTCAGCCGGAAAGGAAAGGGACAAATCAAAGAAAAAAGGCTCAGTCAGCTAAGGCAAGCGAAGGGCCAACGCAGCATTACAAGGGCGCATCTGAGGGCATGTCTTCACTGGCTTCGCCGGCTTGACTGGCAGTTGGTTCTACCAATTGCAAATATCCGCTTTGTCTGCCTTGCTTGCTGGCCTGGCATGCAAAGTTAAAATGTGCTAGAATTCGAACACGCAAGTTCTTGTGAATATGCAAGCGGGCTATAGGTGTTGCTTTGTTATCATCCATTTGCTTAAGTCTCCTGGAAAAATGACATATGTTCAGTGGTGATAGATTCTCTTTAAAATCCGGGAAAATCAACAATGGTCTTCAGCGAATGGAAGTTCGGATGCCGCGTGATATGGGACCCCACAAAACCTCTCCGCCCCGAGCTGGGGCCAGGATAGCCATGCTCATTCCCGTAGCTCAATGGAATCAACTGGGACTCAATTCCTAGGGGTCTCCTCAACATTGAGCCGAGCCAAGCGCCCTGCAAAGCCCTCAAACAGATTCCAGCCTCCGCATCAACGATCACCATGTCCTGGTCGGAGCAGTACTTAATACCTGACCTGAGCCGGTCGCG